GGACGACCGAGGATGAGATGGTTGGACAGGGTCATCGAAGCAACCAACATGAATTTGACACAACTCCGGGAGGCGGTGGAAGATAGGAGGGCCTGGTGTGTTCTGGTCCATGGGGTCACGAAGAGTCGGACATGACTAAACGACTGAACAAACAAACATTATATACCCTGCACTTTGGGATGATCAAGAACAGATCCTCCTCCTCCTCTGTATGACACTCTTTCAAATATTTGAAAAGTGTTATCAGATCTGCTCTCAGTCTTCTTTTCTCAAAGCTAGACCGGCCCAGCTCTTTCAGTCTTTCCTAGTGCGGCTTGATTTCCAGTCCCCTGATCCTCCTTGTCGTCATGCTCTGAACTTGCTCCAGTATGTTGGCATCCTTCTTAATGCCACAGGGGTGGGGGTGTTTGTGATGCCACAGAGGCAGGGCAGACAGAAGTTGCGTGGGAGTTCTTCCTCCACAACAGGTTACAAATATTTGGAGAAAATATTTGCCAAAGCTTGAAGAGGTGCCATGCATCTGGTTTTTTTTTGTTCTTCTTCTTGTGAAACAAAAGCAGAAATTGGTATTTGCTCCATTAGTGACATCCCCCCCCCCATTCCTTGTTTACCTCCTCATTGTTAATGGAACCATGTGCCTTGTGGTTTTTCTGCCTTCCACTACTTTCCCCTTCTAAGGATTGGCACTGACTCATGTGCTGGAGCAGAATCTGAAAGCTGAAGCTGGTGCAAGAGCAGAGGCTCCCAAACTGATCATCCTCTTGACTGACGGCAAATCTCAAGATGATGCCACACCAGCAGCACAGACCTTGAAGGATATGGGCATCGAAATATTTGCTGTGGGTGAGTTCATAGGCTTACCTTCTTAGGTTTCGAATTTCCCGATGCAAATGGATGCTTTGATGGGGTGGATGCGTCAGGAATACAACACACTAAATATTTCACACATGCTTTGTAGTTCTACCACCAGTACAAAAAGCAGGCATCTTGGCTGGCATCTCCTCGAGAAAATCATGTATCGGCTGCAATTCTTTCGTACAATCACACAAATGGTGTATTCTTTAGATGCAAAGTGCTGTAACTTAAGAAATATCTATAGACATTGCCTGTTGCATACAGGGTTGTATGACTTGGTGTGCAATAGATAATGCCTAAGGAGCTTTCTTGCCTTACAACAGTTCGTGTCTAAAAGTGACACCGTTTGCCTAACTGCACACCAGGATTTTGGCCATCAGTCCCTTTATGTCCAAAGACAGGTAAGAGCAGCAGCACTTTACTTTTTCCCCCTGGCAATAGAGGAGACTAGACTAGGGGAGACCGATGGCAAAAATTGAGTTTAGATCTGGATAGCAGTACAAATGGACCACAATATCCACAGGAGGTCGGTTCTAACACACACACACACCACGCAGATGCAGAAAATTGTGGATAAACAAAACACACAGACATACACACACACACACACACACACACAGATGCATACATTTTATGTGTGTATGCACAGTATATGTATATGTATGTGGATAAACAAAACACACACACACACCACGCAGATGCAGAAAATTGTGGATAAACAAAACACACAGACATACACACACACACACACACACACACAGAGAGAGAGAGAGAGAGATGCATATATTGTATGTGTGTATGCACAGTATATGTATATGTGTGTGCATGTGTTTGTATATGTATATATGTACATGTATATGTATATATGTGTTTCTATATGTGTGTATATGTATATGTGTATGTACAGTATATGTATATGTGTGTATGTGTGTGTGTGGATAGATAGATAGATAGATAGATAGATAGATAGATAGATAGATAGATAGATAGATAGATAGATAGACAGACACACATACATACATATATATGTGTTGTTTGTGTGTGTATGAATATTTATATGTATGTGTGTATGTATGTGTATATGAATATATATGTATATGTATACGTGTGCAGATATGTACATATGTATATATGTGTGTGTGCATGTATATGTATGTTTGTATATATATGTATACGTATATTTATATGTATGTATATGTTTGTAGGCATATGTATATATGTGTGTGTGTGTGTGTGTGTGTGTGCGTGTACTACCAGACCTGGCCACTAGAGGGAACCTCTCTCTCTCTCTCTCTCTCTCTCACACACACACACACACACACAATTCCTGGTTTCCTCTAGTGGCAAGGTCTGGTAGTACATCCTGGAAATGCATATAAGTGGATAAGTAAGACTGTGGATATTAATCCTGTATATGTGGCAGTCAAACTGCATTCCTCAAATGAAGGAAGTCATGAATGTCTAGCTGGCTCGGTAGCTGTTGTGCTGTATCAGCAACCATGTGAGCTGACCCTTTTGTGTACCTGGGCTTTATATCTGTCTCAGCACCTTACATTCCTTTTCTAGGGGTGAAAAATGCTGATGAAGCCGAATTGCGCCAGGTAGGCTCAGAACCTTTGGAGATGACCGTGTACAACGTGCTGGATTTCCCTCTGCTCAGTTCTTTGGCTGGCCGGCTTACCCGAGTCTTATGTGCCCGGATCAAAGAGAAGAACAAGGATGAAAATACAGGTGAAGTGACCACCATCTTTTCATTAAAATTCATGTTCCTTGATTGTTATTTCTTGCAAGCCTCTCATCAACTTTCTACCCCTTTTCCAACTTCTGAACAATGAGAGCAAACATAAACATTTGAAACTCATCAGAAGGTTGAAGTTTAGCCTATAAATTTAGACCACGGGTGCAATCAGGAGAGCAAGGGAGAAGAAGTTTGCATTTCTTTGCAATACTTTTAACGTTTTTAAAGCCCTGTCAAAGCACTGCTAAAGCACAATGTGTTAGCGATAATTAACAAGGATAATTAACAAGAAATACAAATTTTCCTCTTCCTTCCCCTCCAAATGCGAGCAGAAAGGAAGCTTTCCATTTCTGAAGATTGTTAAGTGACTTCACCAAAGAGACAGCCAGTCAGCTGCTTAACAATCTGGAGAAATGGGAAGCTTCCTTTCCTGAAGATTGGTCTCGAACATGCTAAACTTGAAATCCAATATGGACCCTGAATTGTAACCTCAAAGTGACCCTGTTTAACAGGATCAAGATTGATTGAGGCCAGGATAGTTTCACTGCTATATCCACTTGCTAGTCCCAATTAATTGCAGAATGCGCCATCAACACTTATGTAAATCCAACTGATTCAGTGGTTGCACTCTAGTTGGGACTGCCAATTAGATCCAGACCTTAATGCTTCTATTATTGGTAAAAGCTCAAAATATGATTTAATACATTTAAATTTTGAGAAGTGCTGCACACCTAGGTTGGGGCTGAGTTTAATTCCACAATTACTCTGTAGCCAGGGGAAAAAAATCCATTTTAGAATGACAAGATTTGTGCATACAACAAATCTCTTTTACAGAGCCTAATAAATTAAACTAATTTGCTCTACATTCGGTAAAGAAACTCACTTTTTAACATTTTAAAGTAACTTTCCTACTGCTACACCTCTAAACAGGAATGATTCTAAATTATATCAGTAATACAAGTATGGAAAGGCAGAGCAGAGTTGAACTCCCAGAATCGCTCAACCAGCATAGATGGCTTGGGGATTATGGTGGTTGTAGTCTAAAAAAGTAACATGACCATACTCTGCAGAACATCTGCTTTATGCCTTCAAGTTATTCAGAACAATATATTTCACAATGTTTTCCCAAGGCTCCCAAGCTATGAAGCTGATAAATCTATTTAATAACAACAATAACAAAAATAGTCTCTCAAACTCTGTGCCCAAGGGGCAACTTTGGCCAAGTTTTCCCCCATCTGAAATAAAACTATAACCATCATCCAAACTTGCAGGCAAGCCAGTAAAAGCTGTTCCAGTGAATACCGGTGCCCATCTGAGTCCAACCAATCTTGTTTTAAAGGAGGTAACATCCAGAAGTCTGCGCCTCACCTGGAACCCTCCTGTGATCCCACCAAAAAAATACAGGGTGGTTTACTACCCTTCTAGGGGTGGCACACCTAAAGAGGTGAGTGATCCTGTCATTGAGGGCTTCCGCTTACTGGAATTAGCTACAGAAACCCTAGTTGTGATGGGCAAACGCCCAGTGATCCAAGCCAGAGATAATTTTGGGGGTTATGGTGACTGCTTTTGATTCTAGGTACCTGTGGTATGTCATCCAGATTTCGGTTGAATATCAGGAAAAACTTCCGAACTGTTAGAGCAGTACGACAGTGGAACCAGTTGCCTCGGGAGTTGGTGAGTGCTCCAACCCTGTGGTGCTGGAGGAGGCTCTTGAGAGTCCCCTGGACTGCAAGGAGAACAAACCTATCCATTCTGAAGGAAATGAACCCTGAGTGCTCACTGGAAGGGCAGATCCTGAAGGTGAGGCTCCAACACTTTGGCCATCTCACGAGAAGAGAAGACTCCCTGGAAAAGACCCTGATGTTGGGAAAGTGTGATGGCAAGAGGAGAAGGGGATGACAGAGGACGAGATGGATGGACATCGAAGCGACCAACATGAATCTGACCCAACTCCGGGAGGCACTGGAAGACAGGAGGGCCTGGTATGCTGTGGTCCATAGGGTCACAAAGAGTCGGACACGACTTAACGACTAAACAACAACAACCAACCAACCCTGAAGGCATTCAAGAAAAACTTAGATAATCACCTGGCAGATCTGCTTTGATGGTATTCCTGCCTTGAGCAAGGGGTTGGACTTGATGGCCTTGTAGGCCCCTTCCCACTTCATTTTTCTATGATTCTATGATTCCAGTTCACTTACTTTTGTATCTCATAGCAAGATGTTATAGATTTTGGCTATATTGCTGGTGGAAACCAGACAGGACAAGAGCATGAGGATGACAGGAATTGTACTCCAGCACCTTTAGAGTCTGCGAGGAAATCTTATCTAGGGCGTCAGGGTTCAAGGAAGGTGCAAGAAGAAGATCCATAAATTCAATAAGAGAACCACCTAATTTATAAGAAAAACAAAGAATAACAGAATAAGACAAACCAAGGAGTTGGTCACTCAGCTAATTTACATTGATAGCAGTCCTGACATTTTTAAAATCACTGTAAAGTCATGTGGAACATAACAACTGGGCACATTTATATGGTCTGCACCCACTCTCTGTCCGCTGGTCATCTTCTGCTTGTCCAGCTCCTTCACTGGCCAAATGGAGAGAACAGGGTAGGTGGTTGAAATGCTGAACATAGTACAGTGATAAACATTTTAAGGAAAGAATAAAAAATATTAAAAGGCAAAATGGCACTACCTCTGCTGCCCAAAATCCGCAGAGGCACAAATTAAAATGACAACAGGGTTCACATCCTCAAAAATGAACTGACTTGAATCAATTTAAAAGCAAGTTATTTTAAAAAGCCCCTGCTGGCCTGTTGGAAAAAAACAAAACAAAACCCAGCTTCACAGCCCAAATAAATCAATCTCCTTCTTGCATCGTGTGTCCCGGATTTTATTAACCAATTTAAATAATGCTTAAATTGATTTAACTGCAGTTCTTATTGCCAGTGGAACCACACCCTTTGTTTTATGGCATTTTCCAAAACTAACAGATATATATTTTTGTCTGCGCTCTCATTGATCACAAACTCCTTGTCTATGTGTATGGACTAAAGTGGTACCTCAATTTACAAACTTAATCTTGTTCTCATTGATCACAAACTCCTTGTCTATGAGTATGGACTACAGTGGTACCTTAATTTATGAACTTAATCTGTATTGGAACGGTGTTCATATGTCGAAAAGTTTGTAAGTCGAGGCAAACCTTCCCATAGGAATGCACTGAAAATCATTTAATCCGTACCTGCTGTTTTTCGTTCTTATGTTGAGGCACCGTTCTTAAGTTGAAGCATTAGTTCCCATAGGAACTAATGCAAAGCCGGTTAATCCGTACTCTACTTAGGGGCAGATTTTTTAAAAATTTTTTCTTCTTTTGACCTAAAATGAACTTAGGTCAAAAAAAAGGGCAGGAAAGTTTTTTTTTTTCCATTGGCAATTTGAGCCTCCATTCGCAAGTCGAAGCAACATTTTGCGAACGGAGCTGTTCGTAACTCGAAACATTCGCAAGTGGAGACGTTCGTAAGACAAGGTACCACTGTATATAGTATTCAGGCCATGGTTTCATACACCATATACATGGTTGTGGGGGTACAGGCAGAGTGAAATGAAATAAAGATGTCAACTACATTATAAACTCTTGTAATGAACTTTTAAGGTGCTGATTAACTCTTGAACAGAATCATAGAATAATGATGTTGGAAAGGGCCTATAAGGCCATTGAGTCCAAATCCTGGCTCAGTGCAAGGATACAGATCAAAGGATATCTCCCAGGTGGTTGTCTAAGTTTCTCTTGAATGCCTCCAGTGCTAGAACACTCACTACCTCTTGAGGTCATGGGTTCCATTGTCATACTGTAACAGGAATTTTTTTTGTAATATTCAACCAAAATCTGGCTTCCTGTAACTTGAGCCTATTGTTGCGTGTCTTGCACTCTGAGACGATCAGGAACGGATGCCGAGCCTCCTCTGTATGGCAACCTTTCAAAAGTTTGAGAGTTTGTATCATCGCTCTCCTCAGTTTTATTTTCTCACGGCTAAACATGCTCAATTCTTTCAGTCTTTCCTCCTAGGGCTTGATTTCCAGCTCCCTGATCAATCCTTGTTGCCCTCCTCTGAACTTGTCCCAGTTTGTCAGCATCCTTCTTAAAATCCAGAACTGGACACAATACACAAGATGGGGGCTAACCAGTGCCGAATAGAGGGGAACTAGTACCTCATGGGATTTGGAGAGTATACTTCTGTGAATGCAGCCTAAAATAGCATTGGCCTTTTTTGTAGCCACATCACACTGTTGGCTCATCTTCAGCTTGTAATCTATAACATTTCCAAGATCCTTCTTGCAGAAATTGTTGATTCAATGATTTGACAAAAGAAAAAGCTAAAGAGTATTGATTTACCCTACTGATGTTTAGCATTAGCTAATCACTTTCCCTGTTAGCAGTGTGCTGGATTTTCAATACCTTGAAGCCAGTGCTTAGAAAGTAAAGGATGCTAGCACTGGCCCATTGCCACTGTGGAAGAAAAATTCAGTTTGTTAGCCTAGTAGCTATTTGGCTACTAGGCAACTTTGCTCAGCCCAAGCCTTAAAAACAACAGTATACTCATTACAATTTGCCTGTTTGCTTTTAGGTTGTTTTAGACGGGACGGTATCCACAGCACAGCTTGTGAACCTGACATCGCACACTGAATATCTAGTTTCCGTGTTTCCCATTTATGAAAATGCTGTCGGAGATGGACTCAGAGGCATCACCTCAACCTGTAAGTTGGCTTATAATATAGTCATGTTCAAGTATTAGTATTGTCGGCCAGAAGGCATTCTAGTAGGACCCCGTATCTGTGGGAGGGAATGGCCCCAAGCCCCCACATGGATGCTTTTAAATGCAGATGATAGTGAATGCTATACATAGCATGCTCTCTGTCTTCCTCTAGTGGCAAATTCTTGTGACTTTATCTTTAGAAATATATATATATTTCCAGGATTTTTCTTTTAATGTTTTTAATATTCTCAGTGGATAAGTGAATCAGTGGATACTGATCCCGCAGATATGGGAGTCCTACTGTATTTCATGGTTAGCAATTAGAAAGAGTCAGTGTTATGTAGCTTATAGAGTGTTGGACCCGTGGAACGTGAGTTCAAATCCCCATGGAAACATGCTGGGAGGTTGAGGCCACCATTATTTGGATGCACTTAGTAACAGAATTTTGAATTGTGGTGCTGGAGGAGACTCTTGAGAGTCCCTTGGACTGAAAGGAGAACAAATCTATCCATTCTGAAGGAAATCACCCCTGAGTGCTCACTGGAAGGACAGATCCTGAAGCTGAGGCTCCAATCCTTTGGCCATCTCATGAGAAGAGAAGACTCCCTGGAAAAGACCCTGATGTTGGGAAAGTGTGAAGGCAAGAGGAGAAGGGGACGACAGAGGACGAGATGGCTGGACAGGGTCATTGAAGCGACCAGCATGAATTTGACCCAACTCCGGGAGGCAGTGGAAGACAGGAGGGCCTGGCGTGCTCTAGTCCATGGGGTCATGAAGAGTTGGACATAACTTAACAACTAAACAACAAAAAGTAACAGAACTGCCGTGCTGCTTGTGATTTGGTGGAATGATGTGTAATCAGGGTTTTGGAGGAAAAAAAAACAGTCAGCATGGCCATGGGCTCTGAAGTCGAAACATGTAACTTCTCCAAGATATTTGAGAGTGATGGTGCGGAATGCAGAACACTTTCTGCAAAAAGATGCACAACTCTGGAAAGCAGGAAAAAAGCAGGAAGCGCCCAACAGCAATAGAGTGGAAACAAGTCCTGTGTTGTACCGTTCTGTGCGGTGGAGAGCATTCAAGAATGCAGGTCATTGGTCTATTAAAAATCCTGTCTAACCATACTGCTTTAATATTTCTCTCGCATTATCTGCCCCAGTTATATCTAAGAGAAGGTCAAAAGCACATACTGTAATATGAAACTGGCTGCTGCCGTCGGCAGCTTGCTCAAATTAGTGGCTTTCACTTAAAGAGAAGGCAAGTTTCTAGCCCATATACCTACCAATATAATTTTAAAGGCCGAAATCCTGTTAATGTATGTTGGGGGTGGTGTCAAATCACCTATGACTGATGCCAGCTCTATGAATGAGTGATCTCCAAAAGGTTGTGTCTTCAGCTTTTGCAAATTCAAGCCTGTGGCTTCCTATAGGGAAGTCAATCCATCTCACATCCAGTTTTCCTCTTTTCCTGCTGCCTTCCACCTTTCCCAGCATTATTGTCTTTTCTAGAGAAACCTGCTTTCCCACAGCCTGCACAAAAAGGCAGACAGGTGGTAGAAGAAAGGAGATTTTGATTATGTTTTAGGGAAAATTTCACGGGCCTTTTCTAGGAGGGTTTTAAATGGAAGTTAGGTGGCCACTTGCCAAGGATGCTTTAGCTGTAGATTTCCTGCTTCAGCGCTCAACTTGATGGCTGTTGGGGACCCTTTGAGGTCTACGGTACTATGATTCTGTGATGTCTTGCAAAGCTCTCCTGCCCTGCCTGCCAGTTGCAAGAATAGCAGCAGAATAAATCATGAAAAGGAAATCAGATTTGATTTTTCAAGGTCCCTAACTGCCTACATCATTTCTGAGGTCCTGGTTTTTCAAAACAAATTCAAAACAAATTCCATGGTTTAAAGCCATGCAAATCATACCCGGTTTTGCATTTTAAAAAATGTGGGTTTTTTAAAAATATATATATATCTTTAAATGTTCAGGTTTTGCGGCGTATTGAGCATCAGAAAACTGTCTCCCTTTGAACTGTCCTCTTTCATGTTTTGCCTCTGCAGTGCCTCTTTCCGCACCTGCTTCCCTCCGAGTTTCGGAGATCAGCCACAACAGCCTTCGATTGACGTGGCAACCAGCCGATGGGGCCACTCAGTATCTCGTTCTTTGTTCCTCTGCCCCCAGCGGAGCAGAAGATGACACGAAAGAGGTAAAGAATATTGATTCAGCAACAGCTGTCCTTTTTTTTAAAAGCTCCTCTAACGTTCAAAGGTAAGATGGATAAGCAGTACTATTAGAAGGGCATGTCCATGCAAAGGTGGTTTCAAAAAAAACGTTTCTCCTACAGGCTTTCCTGAGATCCCTTGTGGAATAATGAACAGAGTGTTGAACTAGGACTCAGAAGGCCTGGGTTCAAATCCCTGCTCAGCCATGGAAATCCACTGGGTGTTGGCCATGCTGAACCCCTCTTGAACATCTCACATACTTTGAAAACACTGGCAGGGTTGCCATAACTAGGAAAAGACTCGCAAGTCTTTTCTTATTTATGTAAAGCATTTGCAGAAATATATTAGGTGTCCTTAGCAAATATGAAGGTCTGGATTTACTGATACGGATTTTTCTGTGTATCTGTTGTCAAGGTATGTTCATTGTTTGGAAGCTGGAATGTCTCTTCACAGTTCTCCCTCAATAGATATGTTTTTTTCTTTATCTCTGCAATGTGTGTTTATTTTAACCTCATTACCTATGGCTACTGAATAAACACCAACGTGTTGGTTGCCACAACAAGATACTGGGGAATTTATGCACATAATTTGGGAAGGTGGATTTGAAAATAGACTGGATCTGATAGGTAGAGACCATTAGAATAATTTTATTATTATTGCTGAGAGGCGGATGAGGACAATCACGCCTAACCACGACACAAAACTTGCAGTGATCAACAATGATGTATTATTTCTTCCTGTTACCTTACTTTGAGTGAAGTGCTACAACAGTCTGTACCTTTTCTTTCTTATTACAAGACCTACATATTTGAGCTTTCTGCATTTTATCTCTTTTACTGCTGAAGATGCTTATGGAGATCCTACCTGGAGACAATTCTGCTGGATGCTCAGTGGTTTAGGGCTGCAGGGCCAGAGGTTGGGAGTTTGATTTCCCCACTATGTGCCTCCTTGATAGGGTCTGGACTCGATGATCCATAGGGTCCCTTCCCGCTTGACAGCTCTAAGGTTATTTCTATTACTATAACTCAGAGTTGAGCTTTCAGCTTGCTGGACACATTTTGAAGCATTCATCCCAGCTGAGGTCAGACATGCACCAAAACTGCTTTACATTTGGTACCTAAAATATATTTTTTTCCAAGCAAGCCTTCCCTAACATACCATGGTTTTGCTGATGGAATTGTTTTCATATTTTAAGTATTGTGAAGTATCTCCTCCTCGATGCGTTGGTGTATTTATTGTTTGTAAAGCACTCAGGATTTTTCTCTTAAATGTGGATTAGCCAATTAGCCATCCCGGTTCACAAAGTCTGGGAGTTATAGTCCAGGAAAGTAACATTAGCAAGTTTAGCAATTTATACCACTCTCTTTTAAAAAAAAAGCCAGTGGCATAAATCTTCTTGGGCATCCATGCAGTTCTGCCAACTGAACAGAAGGTGGCAGCAAACTAGTTGCAATGACTTGAAGAGCAGGCATGATTGAACTGTAAATAAGAGCAAAAGCTTTCCTGGGCTCGAAACCAATGTGTTCTGTTAGATAGGGACCCTCATTTAGGAGCTCAGATTTATTAAAGAAACCAGACTGACCCAAGTCTCTCTCTTCCTTCTTTGTGACATCAACTTTTGTGATTAAACGATTTGCACCACAAAAGCAAAAGAGAAAGGAGAGATTAGTCTGGACAGCTGGTACCTCTTGTTCCGGAACATTGTTCTTTAATATAATCCTAAAACTGCAGAGCTGAAAGGGACCCTATGGATCTTTGCTGGCCTCAAGGACTACCCGTTAGAAAGGTTGTTTACAAGGTGCGCTGGTTTTGAGAATTAAAAGCTCTTACCCTACCAGCCACTGCTGGTCTGTCATTTATAAGGATTTTGTTGTTGTTTAGTCGTTAAGTCGTGTCCAACTCTTCATGACCCCATGGACCAGAGCACGCCAAGCCTTCCTGTCTTCCACTGCCTCCCGGAGTTGGATCAAGTTCATGTTGGTCGCTTCAATGACCCTGTCCAGTCATCTCGTCCTCTGTCTTCCCCTTCTCCTATTGCCTTCACACTTTCCAAACATCAGGGTCTTTTCCAGGAAGTCATTATTGCAAAAGTGCGCACAGCCATTGTGACAGAAGAGCAAACAAAATGGGAAGAAAAAAATGTGAGATTAGGGCTGTCACCAGCAATGTTAGTGTCCAGAGTGAACAGCTATTTAGGGCAGGAGAACACATAAGAACGTAAGAAGAGCCCTGCTGGATCAGGCCAGGGGTTTATCTGTTCCAGCTTCCTGTCTCTCACAAGTGGCCTCAAGAGATGCCTCTGGGAGCCCACAACACCACGCAAGACCTATCCCCTGATCCCCCTCTTTCCCTGCATCTGGCCTTTGGAGGGACCTTCCTTTGAAGCCTGGAGATTATTGATCCCCATCATGGTTTGTAACCTGCGATGGACTTTTCCTCCAGGAATCTGTCCAGTCCCCTTTTCAAGGCATCTAGGCCAGATGCCATCACCACATCCTGTGGCAAGGGGTTCCACAGACTAACAACATGCTAGTAAAGTAATGTTTTCTTTTGTCTGTTCCCACTCTCCCAACATTCAATTGGAGTGGATGTCCCCTGGTTATGGTATTGGATGAGGGGGAAAAGCACTTCCTTCTATCCACTTTACCCATCTCCTGCATCATTTTATATGTCTCCATCATGTCCCCCTCCATGTCCCCCCTCCATCATGTTCCAGTTTCACAATGTCTTTTTTTGAGGTGTGGAAACCAGAACTGTATGCAATACTCCAGTTGCGGCCTTACCAGTATTTTGAAAGCTAAGCAAAGCATCAATAATAGACTTCTACCACCCTAAAGATTAGAATTGCTTTGGGCACAAGTTTATGAGGGATTTTGTAAACATTCGTTTTGAACTGGGGTAGCTAGGGATGGGATTTTTTTTTATTTCTTACAATACTAACCCCATAATTCTCCATTCTGGGAGTTCTACCCGACATACACCTAAATGTAGCTCACCTGGGAGAAAAAGCCTCAAATGGTAGGCTTTGAGGCCTAGCTAGGCCTAGCTTCCTGTTCAGAAAGAAAGCTCCCACCTAGAAATGAGGCAGGAACAGGAAGCTTGAGCAGAGCTAGGCCTAGCTGAGCCTCAGGGCTTTCCAGTTTAGGCCTTTCTCCCAGGCGAGCCATATTTAAATGTTTGTGAGACAGGTAGAACTCCCACAATGGAGAATGATGGGGTTTGTAATCCAAGAAATCAGAAAATCTCATTCCTAGGGGTTGCCAAAGCTCTCCAGTGGTGGTGGAAAGAGAGAAATGCTACTCATTCCTGGCACAACTCTTTGAAAACTCACCCAGAGGATGACGAGGAGGTAGGCTGTGAAGGTGTTACAGGTATTACAAAGCAGCAGGAATCCTCCTGGGTCAAAGATGCTCTGCCTCTTCTTCAGATTTAGGTAGTGGATTCTTCTGCCTCTGATGCTGCCTCTGGTTTCTACTGAGCTGCCACTGACCCCGTCATGCTCCAGTAGCAAGGCTTCACTTCAGGTTTACAGAGATCATTATCATTGCATCATCCTGGGCTCTGTTACAGAAAGACAACACTTTAAGTCTTGGTCGGGGTAAATCACCCTCCTCTATGCTTAGCACGGAGGGAAGGGGTGGGTGGGAGGGCATGCAGAAGGAGGCATGGCAGGTCTCAGGAATGCCTCCTGTACAGAGCTGGAGAATGATCAGGGAAGAGTGTACAGTAGGACTCCCCTATCTGCAGGATCAGTACCCACAGATTCACTTAAACACGGTCCGAAAATATTAAAAATATTCAAAGAAAAATCCTAGAAACATACCGTATATTTTTGTCTAAAATCTTATACAAAAGGGGTCGTCTTATACATGGAAGTAAGCTGAGGAGAGAGAAAAACAAGTGGAGGGGAAAGCAGGGGTCAAAGTGATCCTGCAGGGCTTTGATCTCTTTCCCCCTACACTTGCTAAGCCCCACTTAGATTTCTTAATTTTGGGTTAGAAAAGTGGGGGACATCTTATACATGGGGGCGTCTTATACGCAGTATATTTCTAAAGATGAAATTGCCAGAACTGGCCACTAGAGGGATCCAGAGACCATGCCATGTGAAGCGTTCTCTATTAAAACAGTGTTCTCTATCATCCACTTTTTTCAGCCTCTGTGGAGTGAGGCTTGGAACCCATGCCCCACAGATACAGAGGTTCTACTGTATTTTAAAATCAGTGCTCTGGAATTTTGTGCATTTGGAAGTCCTCAGTCAAAACCCAGTTGCCCTATCCTAGTTATGGCTTTATATATAATAATATATTGAAACCGGCTTATTTTCCAGTGTCCATTCAGCAGTATGTAGGGGTTAAGAGGACTTGGGTCTTCGTGCAAAGCTGCTTTCTGTGGCCATTGGAACTTTGATAGTCCTTCTATTTCTGGTCTTCTTTGTGTTTTTTTTAAAAGTACATTATACTTTCTGCAAATTTTAGGTATGGCACTTCAACTTTTCAATAGGTCACAAGAACCCCTAGGCTGTTTCCCCTTTGCTGAGGTTCAGGGGTTATGATTTTTAAAGGCAACAAACCATCTTAAACCTGTGTTCATGTCCTATTGAAGTTCATCTTCGGTCTTTAGCTTTCTTTCTTTTTCTTTCTTTCTAATATATTTGTTTGTTTGGTCGGTTGACCGAAATCTTTCCTTGCCTCCTGAGAACTCAAGTCAGCATGTACAGCTCTCCTTTCCTCACCCCACTGTCTCCTCAGAACAATCCCATGAGGTGGGTCAAGCTCAGCGTGTTCCTGGCTTAAGGTCATCCTGGGAGGTTCATGGCCAAGGGGGGGGGGATTTGAACGCAAGGTCTCTGGAGTCCTACTCACAGCATGACACTACCCTGGCTTTCAGTGGCTCCGTCTTGCCAACCTCTTAAGCCTCTAAATGCATTCTCTCTCTTTTCAGGTGAAAGTAGAGCAACCTGAAGTTCTCCTCAAGGGGCTGTCCCCCAACACTGAATACTCACTAGCGGTGTATGCCTTATATGGAGAGGATGCCAGCGATCCTGCGAGCATGCAAGAAACCACTTGTATGTCCTAGCATTTGATCGATGGATTAAACTTGCAGCCCTCCCTCCAGTTTCCAATTCTCAGGACATGGTAGAGGCATAGTATCAAAATGATATTAAACTGCCATACATTAAACATCACTAAAACCCAGCAGTTTATCCACCTGGCCATAGTAGCTCATCTACCATTAACGTTCTAGTTAGACTACTGCAAAAGGAAGGCAACAAGGATGATCAAGGGGCTGGAAGCCAAGCCCCATGAGAGAAGATGGAAAGACATGTCTAACTATAACTAACTATAAGTCATACAGAGGAAGGGCAGGACCTGTTCTTGATCATCTCAGAGTGCAGGACAGACAACAATGGGCTCAGGTTACAAGAAGCCCGATTTATCCTGAATATCAGGAAAAACATCCTAATTGTTGGAGCAGTGCAACCATGGAATCAGTGACCTTGAGAGGTAGTGAGTGCTCCAACGCTGGAGGCATTCAACAGAAACTAACGCAACCACCTGGCAGATCTGCTTTGATTTGGATTCCTGCCTTGAACAGGAGACTGGACTTGATGGCCTCAGAGGCCCCTTCCAACTCCATGATTCTATGAATGTGCTTGATGTGGGGCAGCCCTCGAAGAGGACTCAGAGGCTGCAGTGAGTACAGCTCTCCAAAGTCCTAGGGCAGAGGGTGGGCGGTCCTGGAACCACCGGATATGATTTTCTCCTTTACTACCGCTAGCTACCAGTGGCCAAGCACCTATTTTCTACATGTGTTGCAGCTTCTGCGCCATCTTGTAAGGCAATCCGTTTTAAAACACATTGCTGTAGCTCACTGTGGGTGTTTCCAGAACACAGGGGATTGTTTTTATGCACATAACAAAGCACAAGGGAGCTGTGGGAATCTAGGGTTCTTCGTTAGCATTCTCCTGAGATCAAGGGAAATCTGGTATGGTCAACCCTCCAAATAGTGACTGCTCGTAGCCAATGGCAGTTTCCTAGAATAAAAGAATTATGGAGTTGGAAGGAGCCTGTGAGGCCATCAAGTCCAACCCCCTGCTCAGTGCAGGAATCCAAATCAAAGAATATCTGCCAGGTGGTTGTCTAAATTTCTAAAGAGAGGGAGCCATCATAGCCTTGCTCAGGAAATTTCCTTAAAGTGGTTTGAAGGTAGATTGACTTGGGAGTGTGCCCTGGAGGAATACTGGGAGTTTTAGAGTTGTTGTTGTTGTTGTTGTTGTTGGTACTTGGAGTTTTAGAGTTGTTGTTGTTTGCATGCTCTTAGGCACAATTTCGTGCACATGAACTGGAACTCAGTTTAGACACAATTTCGTGCACATGAACTGGAACTCACACAACCGTTCTGTCTTCTAGTGGCCCTAAGCCCTCCAAAACAACTGCGTTTCTCCAACATCAGCCATGCCTCTGTCCGGGTCAACTGGGAGGCGGCTTCACATGCTGTGAAAACACACCGTGTGACCTATATCTCCAGCTGGGGGAGCAACAGTGGAGGGGTGAGTGTCCTTAAGAAGAGAAGAGGTCTATTGCCCATCGTTTTCTTTCGGACAAGTACCGCCTGCATCTCTCAAGCAGAGCTCAAAGGTCATGGCCTTCTGCTGTGATTTGCCCAAGATCTGGGAAAAAAAACGATACACTGCCTCTGTAAGTGGAGGATCCATGTAGCTGTCATGAACCTGAATCCAAAGATGCTGTGTATCTGTTCAGGTGCTGGATAGCTCAGCGGCTTAGGTCTCTCACTGCAGAGCCAGAAGTTGGGAATTCGAATCCCCACTGTGCCTCCTTGATAGGGCTGGAGTTGATGATCTTTATGGGGTCCCTTCCTGCTCTGCAGTTCTAAGATGATGATTATTATAAAAGAGGAGAAGCAAAAGAATATTGAACCATGCTCATTGATTCCATCAGGGAAGCTGAAACTCAAAAAACTGGAAATTATATTTTTTTTGGTCTACAACTCTCAGAATATCACTGGGCCGAGCAGGCTGAGGTAGTCCAGGAAATGGACTTTAAAAAGTTACTTTTCTAAACTCTGGTTAAACAGGCAACAAGACCACACTGGAAAAGACGCCAAGTTGTGCCTTAAGTCCTCCACTCTAACAATCGCTTTGTTTCAGGCGGATGTTCCTGGCAACGCCTCCTATGCTGTGCTGAAGCCTCTCTCGTCCCTGACTCAGTATTTCGTGAGCGTGGTCTCCATTTATGATGAAGGCGACTCCTTTCCAGTAACAGGCAATGTTACTACATGTAAGTAAAGGGGTGGGCAGACTGACAAGCTTGTAGGGGCATAACCCTCAAACAGCTTAGCTGATCCGTGAGTTTTCCATTTTATAAAAAACAAATCTTCACATTGGATGTAGAACGAATAACACAGTGTGAGGATACTTCTGTCCTGCCAGCTCTTGGAACTTGGACAACTGGAAAACTGTCAGTGCTGTTATATTCTTACTGGGCCCAGTTGTGATGGAAATTATTGCCTCTAACCAGCTCAGCTCAAGGGCTTTTACTTTTTCTTTTCCTCATAGTATTAACTATAGTTTAACTTAAAGTGACGGTAGGAGCCTCCACTACATTTGATACTAACATATTTATGCTGTAAACCACCCAGTGAGTGCTCTAGCACTCTGGGGTAATATATACAGTAAATTAAAACAACAACAACAACAACAACAGTCCATAGGCATCCTTCAGTCTCGAGAGACTATGGTAACATGCTCTGAATTGAGGAGTGTCCTCTCCAGAGCATGAAGCCTGGGTAAAGTAATATGGAGGATAGGGTGTTACCCAAGCAGCAGATTCCCCCTCTCCACATTGCTGAAATGGTCCAATGGAAAGGCAAGAGCCAATACAACTGGTTCCAGCAACGTCACAGGAGTTGGCAGAATGCCACGAACTGCCTTCGGGACTCTAGCTCCTGATTTTGCCTCTAAGTTAACTCCTGAAGCCTTTTCCATGAGTGGATATAGCCACAAGGCAGTAGAGGTTTGAAATCGGAGTTTTCCTTCTCCTAGATGGGGCTGCCTTCCAACAACAACATTACATTTGAATGACTGGCTCTCCATTAGAGATGGGTACCAACCTAAATTTGGTACCAGAAGGCTGATCACCAAAGAATTGATGCTTTTGAATTGTGGTGCTGGAGGCGACTCTTGAGAGTCCCCTGGACTGCAAGGAGAACAAACGTATCCATTCTAAAGGAAATCAACCCTGAGTGCTCACTGGAAGGACAGATCCTGAAGATGAGGCTCCAATACTTTGGCCATCTCATGAGAAGAGAAGACTTCCTGGAAAAGACCTTAATGTTGGGAAAGTGTGAAGGCAAGAGGAGAAGGGGGTGACTGAGGATGAGATGGCTGGACAGTGTCATCGAAGCGACCAACATGAATTTGACCCAACTCTGGGAGGCAGTGGAAGACGGGAGAGCCTGGCGTGCTCTGGTCCATGGGGTCATGAAGAGTTGGACATGACTAAATGACTAAACAACAACCAACCAACCAACCTCTGATGTGGAAGTTCGTTTGTTGGGCAAAGAAGTGTTCATTCATTTAAAACCTTGCTTCCTCTGGTGGGTGCCCACTCAGAGGCAGTGCCCGGAGGTAGCAGGGCAGCGATATAGAGCTGCCTCCCGGTGGGCATCCACCGGTTTGAAGCTTGCAACACGTGTTCGGACCCATAAACAAATCAGCACGAACTGCCAAACCAGAGTTTCATGCCCATCTCTACCCTCCATTCTGTTCTATTTCTTTCTAAGCCTTTAAAGCGATCTGTGCTTTCCAGGTATTTTAGATGTCAACTCCCATCACCCTTAACCACTCCTCATGCTGGCTATGACTGCTAGAAACGGAAGGCTCAAAGCATCCCTAGGCAGAGCTGTAACTAAGTCGGGCCGGCTAAAGCTTTGGCTCCGGGCACCAACATTTATTTGCACCAACAATAATTTGCTCCTTTTAATAGTAACTGTGTGCTTAACCAAGTGTTTTGGCTCAGGGCACCAACATTTATTTACAATAAATTACAATAATTTGCTACTGTGTGCTTAACCAAGTCAGTTCTGATTCATGATGATCCTTTGTAGGATTTTCCAGGTAGAGAACATTCAGAAGATGTTCGCCATCCCCTTCTTCTGAGGAATGTACACCTTGCCCAAGGGCACACAGGGTGGCTGTACTAGAATTCTCAACATGTGGATCTGCAGCTGGATCCCTAAACCACTGAGCTATCAAGCCAGCTAAATGTTTTTCCCCACTCAGGAATCAAACCCCAGTCTCCACATAACAGGTGGGGATACTTACCCCTATACTAAGGAGGAGGAGAATGCAAACTCATCAGCTGGTGCTTGATAGTCCCTGTGAATCTCACCATTGGGAGCTGAGCCCAGGGCTCAACCTTCTGAGCCCATCTGAAGGCCATGTTGGTAGCCGGTCACATCAAGACGGCAACACAAAAGTAAGACGGTATAGTACTCAATTAGATTTAAAACAGGCCACAATGCTAAGCTTTAAGGTCCGCAGAAGCACGATTCAGGGACAAAAGAGTACTGTTTTGGCAAACTTTTCTTCCGTTGGAAAGAAGAAAGAATTGGAATAAGGCCTTTCTCAATCTTGCTCACAGATTTCTGAGTCTCTAATGCAGCCAAGACACAGAGAATATTCTCTCCCCCCCCACTTTGCCTTTCTTTCTCCTTGAATGCCCTCCCTGAGTTTCTCCGCAGTTGGAAATGCCAACAGGAATGCGCCTTCTCACTCTTAACGAAATAACCATGCTTTAATTAATGGTTGTGGGGTATTACATACCGATCATTCAGGATGGGTGTTTGTCATGTGGGGTCTGGAGAAGTGAGACCTGCCGGTGAAGGACAGATGCCCGGGGGCCGTTTGACTCCCTCACCATCTGCTCCGGAGCGTGACTGCAAGATGGCTTGTGCCCCTGGTGACAGGCAGGGAGTGGACGAGGAAAGCCTGGATTTCATTTTGCTCCTCTCCTCCTTTGTCTTTCAGTAAAGGTGCCACCGCCAAGCCATCTGAAGGTCACGGAGCTCCCCGGAGGAGAGGCACGCCTGGAATGGGAAGCTTCAGCGGCATCTGACGTAGTAGTCTATCAGATCAAATGGAGTGTGGTCGGTGAAGAGAAGGCACAGGAGGTATGGCATCATTACAGGGACACCGGAGGTAGGGACAGGATTTTTCGATTCATTTCAGATGACAAATCCCATCATTCTCCATTCTGCGATTTCTACCGACCTTTCAGACACCTTACAAATACCTGAATGGGACTCGCCTGGCAGAAAGGCTTGTACTGGAAAGTTCTGAGGTATACATAGACCTAGCTGCCCCCAAGCCTCCTGTTTCTGCCCTAGTGCTAGCTGGGAGCTTCCTTTTTCAACAAGAAACTAGCTAGGCCTCAAAGCATTCCAAGCATTCCACGCCTTTCTCCAAGGCGAGCCACATTTAATGTCTGCAACATGTCTGCCTGTCAGGTAGAACTCCCAGAATGGAGAATTATGGCATTTATGGTCCAAGACATCAAATAGTAATCCTTGCTGGAAGTTCTACATCCATGGTTTCAATCCAAGGGCAAAATTCAATGTCAGAGAAACTTTTGGGAGTGGGTACATTTTCATGAAGAGGGAAGTGAAAAACAGAAGTGTGGGACCAGTACTCCCCATTTTGGCTTTAAAGCCCCTGGTATCTTAACACACACACTCTCTCTCTCTCTCTATCTCTCTCTCTTTCTCATCCTGAGATACTCTGCATCCCGACCCCTTTTCTGTTGAGTGCTCTAAAAATCTCACATGCCACTGTTTCTATTTATATATATCAATTTTTAAGCTAATCTACAGTATATTGAAGATTACAGTTTAGTAAGGATGGCCCTTTAGTAAGTGCCTATTGTGCAAAACCCTATAAAACCATCAACTGAAATACAGAAGGGAAGTCAAAATGATGTAATACACCATGAATGAGAAACTTTGGGTTTCGCAAAAGTTATGGCCCCAGTCCTCACCCTACTGTGTACAGTAGGAACACAGTAGGAGTTTGTGGGAATTGTGGGGTTAGAACGACTGGAGGGTTGAGGGCTTCCTGTACCTGACATACAATGGACATTATTTATATTTCCACCCACCTGTTCCCAATGAGCTCAATGATGCTATCCCAGTACATTGTCATAACAACACACCCATGAGGTAGGTCAGGTTGACTCAGAGATGACCAGCCATGGTTATCTTCATGTCTTCCAACCTGCAAGTCCATTGTGGGTCCAGTTGAAGACTAATGCCCTCCGATATCACACGGGTGAAATCTGTTTTGGGTTTCAGTAGGAAATTTACCCTATTCCTCCAAAAGGTCCAGCAACTTTGTGAGCCTTTGTAAAGTTCAGACTAAAACCCAGGGTGTCTTCACTGTCTCTACAAAACTGGCACCAGCTATCAGTGATTCTAGCTCCTACAGTACACCATGCATGTTTCATCCGTGGGATTGGCTACCACAGGTATAGCAAGGGCCACCAGCTTATATGGCTTTAAAAGGGGTTAGACAGCTTCCATCTTCCAGGAAAAATGATGTCTTGACACATCAAGTCATCTTGCTGAAAATTGTCAACCACTGCAAGGTTTTTCCTCCTATACAACAGAGACCAGTAGTGTTTGTTTGTTTTATCAACAGAGGCACTGGCAAAAAAAAAAGTATTCTGCATATACAAAGATGTATATTTTGTGCCATTTTGTGCTCCAGGTATTACTGCATTACATTAATTTGATCAGCATTCCCTGCACCCCCTCATCCATCGATTTCTTGCTGTGTGGCAAGTTGTTGTCTCTTAAGGTCCAGCCAGTCTGAGATGTTACTCATCCAAGAAACACATTTTCTCTTCCTCTTCCAAATGACGCAACACATGTCAAAGATACGACAGCTTGTATTCGCGAAGGCTTTCACGGCCAGGATCTAATGGTTGTTGTGGGTTTTTCGGGCTTCTTGGCCATGTTCTGAAGGTGGTTCTTCCTAACGTTTCGCCAGTCTCTGTGGCCGGCATTCCAACCCCCTGCTCAAGGCAGGAGACAGCTTGTTTCTCTTAAGAATCAACTCTATTTCTTTTTGTTTGCCTATCCAATGAAGTACGTCTTCATTCTTTATTCTGTCAGTCCACGTGTTTTTGAGGCTCTGTGCCCAGAATAGTATCAATTGGGCAGTTTACATAGAATCATAGAAGCATAGAACAGTGATGTTGGGAGGGGCCTACAAGGCCATCAATTCCAACCCCCTGCTCAAGGCAGGAATACCATCAAAGCATATCTGCCAGGTGATCATCCAAGTTTTTCTTGAATGCCTCCAGGGTTGGAGCACTCACCAACTCCCGAGGTAACTGGTTCCACTGTCGTACATCTCAAAAATGTCATGGTTGTAAAGTGTTAACAATACTTTTCTCCAGTCATGGAATGGATAAGCTGCATGCTTTGTCTCTTGGTTCCAATATGGGAGCATAAGAAGTGTAGCAGTTTTAGTCTGCTTTTTTATAAAATTCGCCCTATTGTGCTGCAGCCTACAAATACAGTTGATTCTTCTCTCTTTCTCTTTCTCTCTCTCATTCTTTCTGATAGCTGTCTGTCGCTGGGAACCTGGCTTCTTCTCTTTTGTCCGGCCTGAAAAAGAACAACGAGTACCAGATATCCATTTGGGCCTATTACAAAGATGGAGCTCGGAGCGATACCGTCTCCGTTCGGCACAGGATCAGTAAGTGAGCCTAGACATGCCATGGCACTGCTTTGAAGAGTTGGGAATGTCATGATATTAGATGGTGTATAATTAAGCCGTGAATATTCTGTTCAAATGAAAGGCTGTGGAAGTAATTGGCGGTTGAATGTTGGAGAAAGGCTGGAGGTAGAGAGAAGGATAGGGGTTAGCTCACACTCAGACCGTTGCTATGATCATATGGTGCTGTGATGGAGCAATGGAAGGGACTGGATGTGACCCTTTCTGGGTCTGATCCTTTAGTCTTCTAAATACAAGAGGTAGTCCGACAGAATTTCATGGGACTTACTCAAGGCAGATGAGTATAGGATTGAGTAAGTAGAGGATCATACAAATGCAGGTGAGTATAGGATCGTACCCCAGAGTTACACAGAAACATGTGGAACTTTCACACCTACCTTTTTGACACAGTCAACAACATCTGTGCAAAAGCTGCTCTAACTTCAAGCTCTTGCAGATCGAATATACTGTGTGTTTTCCTTAAACTATTGGGTTCTGCTCTGATGTTATTAGTTGTGGTATTTTCCCCACCATTTGTCCTTAACAAAGTTTTAAAGAGAAGTGGTCTGTGCAAAAGCTGCTCTAATTTTAAGCTCTTGCAGATTGAACATACTATATGTTCTCCTTAAACTATTGGGTTCTTCTCTGATGGCATTTTCCCCACCAATTGTCCTTAACAAAGTTTTAAAGAGAAGTGCCCTTCCTATAAAGAGATGTTTGAATGCAAGTTCAAGTAAATTTGTCTAGCACCGTGGTTCTTAACCTTTGTTACTCGGATGTTTTTCAACTGCAACTCCCAGAAACCCCAGCCAGCACAGTTGGTGGTGAAGGCTTCTGGGAGCTGCAGTCCAAAACTCCTGAGTAACCCAAGGTTAAGAACCAGTGGTCTAGCGTAACCCTTAGGCATAGATGGGGGGGACTTGTTTTTTGAAGTACTGCTCCGAAAATCCTTCACGTGATGTAGACCATAGCCATGATGGTTCGGGGATTTGGTTACTTCATAAAAGTAACTTCTTCCATTTCTGAATCTATTAAAGGCTGTTTGTTCAGGAAGCAGTTATTCCAGATCTCCCATATACTCTAGTTAGAATCAAGAGTTCATTGCTATGATGTAGTTATCTTTCCATTGGGATGGGTGAGAAAGTCAGTTTATTTCATTTGTCTCTGGGATTTATGCAGTTCACACTGCTTTGAACTGAATGCCTACAGCTGCTGGTCTGAGGTCCATGCTTACAAAGTGATTCACGAAACAACAAAATGGGACTGGAAGGAGTGTAGGTTTGGAAAATGTGCATGGAAAATCCATACATTTGAAGGGAGAAAATACATCCGTTTTCATGGGCCAGTTGCTTAGGTTCATGAAGTCCACTAAATCTGTTAGCTGTTAGGGCAGGAAGTGAGAAAATACATCCGTTTTCAGTCCACTAAATCTGTTAGCTGTTAGGGCATTGCAATTAGCGTGTTTGAACAAAATGAGTGAACATTTGGCATATATATACTGTAGTATATATATGTCCGTATACACTACTCAGATAATAGTTATATGTGTCTGTCTGCACAGACAGCTGCATGGTGGACAGGATGGTTAACCTCCTTCCCCACTTCACGGCCACTGCCCCACAAACCACCCTGCGTGTCGGACATTGGATCTAGACTTGGGTGGCAGGAGGGTCCCCACTGCTATATAAAGTTCTGAGTCACACTTTACAAAGGGACACTTTTAGAAATGAATGAAAAACTGGCAGACTTTGCATCAACCTATAGAGGCTGACTCTTGTTTGGTACATTTAAAAAAGAAAGAAAGAAAAATGTAAAAGGATGTGAGGTTAGAAGGGGTCTTTCCTTGAAGATCCTCTCTTAATTAAGAGTCCCTGACTAATGGCTTTGCTGGCATTGATTGGAACACCATTCGTTTAAGAGCCACCCTCTGTTCTTGTCATTGAATCAAGTTTCTATATTTTTAGAGTTGTTGAAGCTTCATTTACTAACTCTCCTAGAATTGGCAGTCCTTCACTTTCAACGATATTTATTTGTATTCTGCTTTCCAGTTCTGTTTATCTAAACAAACTGCAGGGAGCAAAACTAACAATTTAGGAAGAATATCTATACAAAACAGAGTTAGTGTTAACACAAAATCTGAAAACTGCACCCTATGGGACTTTGGGGGCAATGTTCAAAACACAGTAGCCCCCTGCCACCTGCGGTTTAAAGGCCTGTCTGGAGGAAAACAATCTTCAGCACTTCTAAAAGGTCAAATATTTCAGATTGGAGGAACTTCAGAGTCTGTTGTTGCTGTTGTTTAGTTGTTAAGTCATGTCGGACTCTTTGTGACCCCATGGAACAGAGCACGCCAGGCCCTCCTGTCTTCCACTGCCTCCCGGAGTTGGGTCAGATTCATGTCGGTCGCTTTGGTGACCCTGTCCAACCATCTCATCTTCTGTTGTCCCCTTTTCCTCTTGCCTTCACCCTTTCCCAACATAAGGGTCTTTTCCAGGGATTCTTCTCTTCTCATGATATGGCCGAAATATTGGCGCCTCAGCTTCAGGATCTGTCCTTCCAGTGAGCACTCAGGGTTGATTTCCTTCAGAACGGATAGGTTTGTTCTCCTTGCAGTCCAGGGGACTCTCAAGAGTCTCCTCCAGCACCACAATTCAAAAGCATCAATTCTTCGGGTGGTCAGCTTTCTTTATGGTCCAGCTGTCACTTCCATACATCGCTACTGGAAAAACCATAGCTTTGACTATGCGGACCTTTGTCGGCAAAGTGAGGTCTCTGCTTTTTAAGATGCTGTCTAAATTTGTCATCGCTTTCCTCCCAAGAAGCAGGCGTCTTTTAATTGCATGGCTGTTGTCATCATCTGTCATCATTGTCATCATTGCATGGCTGTTGTCATCATCTGCAGTGATCATGCAGCCATAGGAAGTAAAATCTGTCAATGCCTCCATATCTTCCCCTTCTACTTGCCAGGAGGTGATGGGACCAGTGGCCATGATCTTAGTTTTATTTATTTATTTATTTGATTTATACCCCGCCTATCTGGTCCAAACGGTTTTTTTGATGTTGAGCTTCAGATCATTTTTGTGCTCTCCTCTTTCACCCTGATTATGAGGTTCAGAGTATGGACCACACCAAAGGAAATCTTAAAGTATGAACCACACCAAAGGAAATCCTATTGGGGAAAACCCATTAAAATGTTGTATCTGATGACGTAGACACCCGCAAACAGCTTTCGACACACAGCTTTGGAGTAAGACCTACACTCCCCCAGGCATGTGAGATCCAAGTTCCTTTAAAGAACAAAAACAGACTTCAGCAAACTCATAGCCCTTAGGATTTTTATAAGATGGGTGCTCTGTGATCTTCATTGCCAGCACCACCCACAATGTTGGTTTAGCTGAAGATTCTAAGCTGTCTGCCGGAAGATGGCACAGTTTGGCTGCTTCCTCATGCCAACTCAAGGGACCGCACACAAAACACTGAAAATATATATTACTCTATAATCGAACTTGATGTTAATTTAGAAGAAAATTAGTCAAGCTCTTTGCATTGAAGTCAGGGTTCATTATACACTTCAGAGCTGCAAATGTACTGGATTTGATTTAGCAAGTGACTTATCCTGAGTATCCATGAATAACAAAGCTGGCATGGCAAGAGGTCTGTCAATAGATATTGTTTCGCAGCTCTGATATAACATTTTCTATGGTAACGTTCCCCAGCTGTATTATTTCAAGAAAACCCTCAAAAGGGTCACCATACATTAGAATTGACTCTTCAGAGCTGCAAATGTACTGGATTTGATTTAGCAAGTGACTTATCCTGAGTATCCATGAATAACAAAGCTGGCATGGCAAGAGGTCTGTCAATAGATATTGTTTCGCAGCTCTGATATAACATTTTCTATGGTAACGTTCCCCAGCTGTATTATTTCAAGAAAACCCTCAAAAGGGTCACCATACATTAGAATTGACTCAATGGCATTATTATATTATTA